TGAGCAAGAGAGACTTTAATGAAATTAGTTTTCAACTTTGTATCTCTAAACTGGATAATCTTTTTGAAATAGATGCCAAATAGCACTAATCTGCACTATGCTGCCTCTGCAAAGAATTACAAATGTTCCCTGACAGTGAGGTTCTGAGCTCATAAATTCATGTCAATTGAAGATAAGTTGAAAACGTATTTAATATACCTAGCCCACCTTAAATGTCTTACATTACCCTATAATTGAGCAAAATCATCTAACATTGATTGTGGCATATAATGAAGGATTGAACAGCTCATGTAAGTATTGAATGGAGCACAATGAGAAGTACAGGTTTTCTCTATGATCACATGGCTAGCGGGGAGTTGTTTGCTGGGCTCCAGCATCAACAGTATGTTACTATCAGGAGCTTAAGGAAAGTTCAAAGCTCAAAATCTGGACGTGTGTGGCTTGTATTGAGCACAGACAGGTCACTTTCACATTATCAAGTAAAAAAATCCAGAGTCAAGCAACTGTGAGTTGGAAACACCTGTATTCATATTCCTGGTTACATGTCCCTGGTATATAATAACTACACAGATTCAATGTCTGATAATTTTCCTGACTTGATGACTAATATCTCTTTCAGTGTTGTTTTACTGAATAAAGAACCAGCTAAGATTAATGAGGGCAATTTAAGTGTTAGGGAGTGAAAGCCGGGATGATAACACTACACTATTTTCTATGTGCAGTTATTTTGTCTTTTTATCAGACATATGGACATTTAAAACCACAGACTATGGCTTAAGTAAATTAAAATTTGTTTAAACTGCATTTTATTTTGCTTAAAAATGAATCTCAGTAATTACTAAAAAGAAAAATGAATCTACTTTCTTTATTATGACCTTCAGTCAGAATGATGAATAGTACTTTATTTTGGAAAAGTATTCTTTAAAAGCCAGTATGTAAAATTACTGACTTCTCTTTTAGACTGGAACTTACATTTTTCAGCATTGAATCCCTCCAAAACTTGAATTACATAATAGGTGAAACATAAAAAATTTTCTTCAATATATTGAACTAATCTTAATTGTCCACATATTACCTTGGTGTTTGAAAAATACATGTAAAGGAATGCTTATTATAGCAGATACAATTCAGAAAATATTCACCTAGTTAATTTTATTACAATTTGCTTCTAAGCAATATATTTAAACTTAAACACATTTTAGGAGCTATTTAAAATATTTTGTTCTTTAGGTTTTTTTTTATATATTTGTATTACTTGTATTTTTTATATCAAAATGCTTAAAGCCTGAGCCAGCTAGGATAATACATGCATGCAATCCCAGTACTCAGGAGGCAGAAGCAGGAGAATTTCCACAAATTGAGGCCAGCCAGGGATACATAGCAAGACCTTATCTTAAAACAAAAACAAAACACATAAAACCCACCAAAGTTTAAGCCTCTTGACTTTGAGGAGCAAGTTGTACAATTATTATGCTTTAAAACGCAAAGCACTCTTCTCAGTGCTTGCTCATTCTGTGACCATACCTGAGACACTTTATCCCTGATTCCAAGTATGCCTACGCTTAACCTGAAGATGTTCAAAATGTTCCAAAGCCCAGGTTATATCCCAGACCTGGCACACAGGCATTTCTAGTCCTTGCAAGTCCCCAGGTGATTCCAATATGCTGAGTCTGAGAAGCACTGCCTTAAAGAACTGGTTCCCAGGCAAACTTCTAAGCCTTTCTGATGCTCCGCCTGAAGGCTCTAAGCCTTTCTACTCTTCCTCCTGAATAGCACCACCTCAGCACTAAGTGTGTTACAACTGTTAACTTGCCTGCCTGTTCTCCCAGTGTACTTCAAGATTCGGGAGTATTTTCATCTTTGAATCCCAGGGCTAACCCTGCATCAGTTGTATGAGAGTATGTAACACATTCATGGAATAGGGCCCAAGGAAAACAAAACTAAAAATATACTGTGCTGATATTGAAATACTTTGGAAAAAGTAATAATTTAAGCTGTTCAGGATATGTTTTAGTTTGCTTTCAATTGAGCTGTGACAAAACACTCTAATACCAACTTGGGGAGGAAAGGGTTTATTTGGCTTACATCTCCCAGGTCAGAGTTCATCACTGAGGCCAAGGTAGAAACTCAGGGCAGAAACCTGGAGGCAGGAGCTGAAGCACAGGCCATGGAGGAATGATGCTTAGTGGCTTTGTCCCCTGCCCATGCTCAATATGCTTTCTTATACAATACACGACTACCTGCCCAGGGTGGCACCACCCACAGTGGGCTGGGCCCACCCACATCACTCAACAATCAAGAAAATTCTACACAGACATGGCCACGGGGCCAGTCCAATGGAGGCAATTCCCCAATTAAGACTCCCTCTACCCAAGTGTGTCAAGTTGACAACTAAAGCTATCCAGCACAGGATGTATCACCAGTGGAATGTGCATATTAGGGAAACATCTCATTATACCAGTGAAAATAAAACTATATCCCAGCATCAAAGACTAACTTCAAATTGCTTACAGATTTGCATTCCTTGTTGTAATAAGCACACCCCCAAACTTCTTGTGATAAAAAACTCATCCTTTCTCTTTTTCTATCTGTAGTGGATTGAGTGTTGTTTGCAAGTCAGCCCTTATATTTTATGTTATAGGGGTTTGTAAGATTGATTTGGAAGATTTACACACTTCCTTTACCAAATCTACCATGTAAGTGTCTGTTTATTGTGGCATTCAGTTAATACAACCATTATGATTATGAAAAAAAATCAACAAAATTTTTGCCACAATCTAATCATAGACAATAAATTCAATCTTAGATGCTTTTAAAAATATTTTTATGTGAATGAGTGTTTTGCCTGCATGTAAGTAGGCCATGTGGGTGCAATGCTCAGAGGCCAGAAGAGGGTGTTGGATCCCTGAAACTGGAGTTACGGAGGGTTGCTGGCTGCCATGTGGGTGCTGGGCCTTGAACCCAGGTCCTTGGGAAGAACATCAAGTGTTCTTAACTGCTGAACTATCACTCCAGCCTCAAGCACATGCTTTTTTGAAAGCTATTTAGAATACTTTGCTTTTTGGATTGCCTAAATGTTTCCTATTGGCAGCACTGTTTCACATCGAACAATATGTAATTTTTTAAACTGCTAGATTTTGATACATGAATTCTGATTTAGGATTAGGAACCTTTGTCTTAAGAGAGTAATGTTTCCCATTCATTATACACATGAAATGCTAGTTTATCTCTTAATTAGACATCAAATTAAATTCTTACCAATATTCAACAGGCAAGTCTCAAATGTATATAGAAAATGAGAGAAAATATATTTGTGTGTGTGTACTTGGGGCACATACACTAAGGGAACTAAGAGGTCAATATTTGGGAGTTGGTTCTTTCCTTCCGCGCTGTTTTCCTCAGGCTTAGTGGTAAGCACCTTTATCTCCCGAGCCATCCCACTGACCCCATATTTACCTTTAGATGCAATATTGTGATCGATCGATTATTTTTAACTAGTATTTTAATAGTAAGTAAAAGACATTCATTGAAACACACTACTTGTTCCTCTTCCCCTAAAGGAGTCAAGACTTAAGCTCTAAGGATAATTTTCCTAGGAACTGCCAGCCTTACAAGAAACAAGTTAAGGTATTACCATGGTGAAAAGATTAAAGATCACAGGTTTTTTGTTTGTTTTTTGGTCTTTTTGAAGCAGGGTCTCCCTGTAGCCCCAACTGTCCTGGAACTCACTATGTAGACCAGGCTGGCCTTGAACTCACAGAGATCCACCTGCCTGCCTCCCAAGTGCTGCGACTACAGGCGAGCGCCTGGCAGATCACAGTTCTTAATATTCAGTTCTGTTATGGTTTCCAAACCGGAAAAGCTGTGGCGGTAACCATCTCTAGCAAGCTTTAGCTGTGATGAACCCCAAACTGAATTTCTTTTGCTTATGCAAACAAGGCACACAGACCTGGCACACTTTCAGCCAGTAACTGGAGCTTCACATATTTATGTTTGGATCAAACGAAGAAGGCAAGGTCAAAGCTGGCTTCAGCATCAATGCTGGCTAGTGTTCTTAGGTCTTTGCACTTGGCAGAGGCAGATACGCTGATTTGCCCTCTCACAGGATCACCAGCATCCACGGAACACCAGGGGTTGGCGCTGTGTGGGTGTCTGGTCTCTCTAAGCTTCCAGTTCCTAGCAGCAGGTCGGGGTGGGCACAAGCTGACCAGAAAAGTGTACTTCACCCCCTTCCACGGATCAAACAGAAGGTGGCCAGAAAACCGCCGTGTCCCGGCTGGAGTCACAGGGCTACGAAATCATCTTCCGCCGCTGTCCTTTGTAACACCCACCCGCCACAAGGGGCTACCGACTGTCAACCTGGGGACCCGAGAGGACCCAGCGGGGACGGCTGGGCTTCCGCGCACCCGACTCCCGCACCCACTGCGTCGTGCGGGACAGGAGGGGGCGAGGAGTGACGACGCCGCTCCCGCTGGGGACCGCTCCGTCAGCGTGACCTACCCCGTTTGCCCCGAAGTATTAAAGCCAGCGCCCAACCAGCCCGGAGCGCCGGCGAGAGACCATTGAGGGGGGGAGCCGACAGTGTCCCCTCGCGCCTTGACTCTGTAGTACCGGGAAAAGCCTATAAAGCCGGGGTCCTCTGCCCAGCGTCCAGCTGAGGCTCGCTCGGCTCCCCGGGCCCCGGGAGGGGCGGTTTCCTCGCCTTCTTCCCGCCCGCGGCTCGCCACACCTCCCTCCGCGGGATGCTTGGTTGGGTCCGGGGCGGGGCGGGCAGTGCTCCACGTGCGGCCCAGAGCCCCGCGTTCGGCTCCTTCCGCAGCTCGGTTCTTCCCGCGGCTGCTAGGCCGCCGCGGCATCCTCGGGGCGGGGCGGGGCGGGGCCTCCGGGCGGGAAGAGGGCGTGGTCTTCGGGGACATGGGCGTGTCCTCGAGGGGCGGGGCAAGTGGAGTGCTGGTCTGGCTGCGGCCGTGGGACTGAGAGCAGCAAGTAGGCTCGGCGGGGGACCTGGAGACGCTGCTGCCGAATCCGACGCCTGGTGCTCGCTACTCTGGAGGTACGAGCCATAGCGGGGTCTCCTCGCCTGCCCCTCGCCGGGCCGCCGCGCCCCTGCTGCCGCTGTGCCCCCTGCCGGCCGGGTGGCGGCAGTACGGTGTGGTGGGGTCTCTGGAAGTGGAGTCGGAGACGGGACTCCGCGTCTTTCTTCTCTCTCGCTGGGTTCTGGGCGTCGGGCATGTCGCCTCTCGGCGAGTCGGAGCTCGCCCACGCCGGGGCGGGAGACCGGAGCCCCGAGGGAGGCGCGGAGCTGGGGGCCGATCGGCGGCGAGCGCGGGCAGGCCGGCGGGCTGCGCTCGGGTGGCGGGCCGCTTGCCCGGACCGCGGAGCCGGTTTGGGGGACCCCTGCCGGCGGTGTCCGGTCTCTAGTCCCGGAGCCCCGCGTTCCCCGGCGCGGTGCGGTGTCGCCTGTTGTGCGCGCAGGCCGGGCAGCCCGAAGCCTGGTCTGGGAAGCTCGGGCTTGGGCTGGACCAGCTCGGCAGCCCCCGAAGCGAGCCTCGGGGACACACGAGTGGGGGGCGCGGTGTGGGTTTCTGGAGGAACTTAACACCGCCAGGCAAAGGGGACCCCTAGTCTCCGCTCGGGCCAGGCGGGGATGTGAACAGCTGGGGGCCCCCCATGTGAGGGCTACAGCAATAAAACAGCGCCTCGAGTGCGTTCCAGGGTGACACAGCCTAAAGGTGGGGCGCTTTCTTTAAGGCAGGGATAGATGGAAAGCTGTCAAAACAAGCACATTTTAAAGTTGAAATCAAAGCTGGCAGATTTTGTACCGTGTGTCTGTGTCTAGTGTCCGAAGAAATATCACCTCATTGGCCCGCTTACACCTTTGAGGGTTTTTTTAATTTGTTTTTGTAAGCAGCCCATCTTTTACCAGCGTTGCCCTCGGGAGCTGTGTAGTGCCCACCGCAGGGAAGGAAAACTTAGGCACGTTTTCTCAGGTAGCCTTTGACTTCAAGGTTGTTCCTCCGAGCACTTCTGAGTGTGGAGAAAAGTGTACCTCGCCGGATTTTCCACTCACGAGTCCTTCCTTTCTTCCTGGTGATGTTTTACTGGTTTTGTAAGCATCCACTTAAATTTAGTTTTTGTACGAAATACTCCCTGTTGCCACAGGGTGTATTCTGGGGATTAGAGAATGCTGTTGGAGAAAGCTGCTGGTGGCTTCATTTTCCAAGAATGTAAGTCATTTCCTTTCTGTGATTTTTCAGGGAGTTGATACTTCACAGCATCAAAACTTTGTGGGGGAAATTTTTCCATAATACATCTGTCACTTAAAAGGCTTGTGACTTTTGGTTTTCCTTCCTAAGGACACTGTAAATTTAGGCCCAGGATTGCTAAAGGAAAGAATGGGGGATCCCAGACCCCCCTCACCCCCCGCCCCAGGATCCTAGAGTATTATAAGACTGCTGTAGAAAGTTTTACCAAGACCTACAAATGGCCTGCAGGATGGTGAGTGGGGGAGGGGAGGAGACCAGAAAAAGGCAGGAAAACAGATGCCTTCCCTTGTGTCCTTTGTAGTATAAAACTTCTAGCACCTCATCATTTCCTTGGGTGTGGTTTTGAGAAAGTAAAGTTTTTATGTTAAAGATGAACATTCTCTAAACTAATCTGAGGCAGCTGACATTCAAATGCTTTTTCGATGTTTGTAAACATATGGGTTTTAAATTTCATAGTAAAGTAGACCTTTGGTAGGATTATTAGATGAAGAGGGTCCCCAAGGGCATATCCCATATCAAGTTATCTGCTGGATGTCTTCTCCAGAAAGCAGACTGACTGTAATGTGAACTAACTTCCCCGGCTTTGAATTGCTTGTGAGAATCCCTGAGATCTAATACTGATGGACCACACTAACCAGTAGTTCTGGCAGGGCTCAAAACATTTTGAGACAGGAAGTCTTTCTTTTTCACTCTCTCCTTTTGGGGGTTGCCAGGGGTAAGATACCAGGTTCTAGTACACAGTTTGAACTTGCAGATTTAAGATGCTCCTGGCTTTACAAGAAAACGCCTGGAAGCAACAGGAGCCACGATGAAGGCCCCGCTTTAAAGCACAATGCCAGCGTGGTACAGCCTTCTCAGATCTTGTCATTCAACTGGGCTGACTGAATTGGGGGCTGTTGTAGACCTTTCCACATTTAACTGTGCTTATGAAGCTTTTGGCTTTCAGAACTTATGACATAATAGGCTGTGTAGCCTTTTGTGGCAGATGCTTGCCTTGGAATGAAAGTTTCAAATAGAATTGTTTTTGACTGAGCTGTCAGGTTTAGAGTTTTGTGCAAATCACTCCTGTCTCAGCTAACTTTTTGATAAAGGAATTCTTTGTAGTTTTCAACTTGGAAGTTATACATTTTGATTTCTAAAGCTGTACTTTTTAAAAAAATGAAACCTGCAAACAATTATTTTATTACATGAAAGCCAGTACCAAGAAAAGATTAATTCAGTCCAGATGTAAAAATGTATGTGAATTTTAGATTTAGATGAGCTCAACAAGTTTCCCTTTTGTTGATGAGGCTGCCTGGATCCCAGATGGCATTTACAAATTATCCCAGGTACTTTCTGAATTGAGGACTGAATTTCATGGACTTTCTCTAAAGTCGTTTTAATGTTATTTTAAGTCTTCTAAAGAATAGAAAACTTTCTGCATGTATGCAGGGACGGTTATTTTCTTATTCACTAATAGAAACCTCAAATATTTCAGTTCGGTACATGAAGTCTGTTTCTTAGTATGAAAACAGGAGGTATATAGTATTTCGGTATTTAAAAAACTTTGTCTTTCATTTATTCAGTTCCAACTTTTTTTTAATACTTTTTATTTTATGTTTATGAGTGTATTGCCTGCATGTATGTAAGTGCATCCGTATCGTGCAGTGCCTAAGGAGGTCAGAAGAGGGCATTGAATTCCCTGTAACTGTAGTTGTGGACGATTGTTAGCCACCATATGGTGCCATGAATCAAATTCGGGTCCTCAGCAAGAGCAGCCAGTACTCTCAACCTCTGAGCCATCTCTCCAGCCCCTCTTTTCCTTTAAAAAATTTTTATTATATGTTATTTTACTTTATGAGTGTTTTGCCTGAATGTATGTAAGTGCACCCGTGCTGTGCAGTGCCCACAGAGGTCAGAAGAGGGCATCAGATTCCCCTGGATCTGGAGTTATGAATGGTTGTTTTACCCACTATGTGGGTGCGGGGAAACAAACCCAGGTCTTCTGCAAGAGTAGTGCTCTTAACTGCTGAGCCGTCTCTCCAGCCACCTTCCTTTTTTTTACACACAAAAAATTTTTTAGGTGTTTATAGTTTTCAACAGAATCCAGCTGTAAGTTTGTGGTTTCAGGTGTAGCAATTGTTTCTTGTTTGACTGTCGTCACCCCTCTGCCCCTTTTTACTCCTAACCAGAAGCAACAAGCACAACTTACAGAAGTTTCATATATTCATTTTAGCCTGTGTCCTAATACCTGAGCTGTAAGGATGCTACTGTACATTTCCAATCAGGTGTTTCTGGGAGTCTTTGTATGATTATATAATTACGCATTCTGGGAGTTTGCTGCAATGTGGTTCTGCACAAAACAGGAGGAAGACTAGGAAAGATTTCTGTGAAGTTTTATGGGTAGTGAAATTTTAGTTAAAACATTGTCTTCTCTAAATCCAAGCAGGAAAAATGGCATTGCTGACTTCAGTGGCTAAACTTTGATGTGCTGGGGAGGGGATAGTTGAGAGAGCTTTTAAAAGTGCACATTATCCTGGGAAAGAGGCTTCGGGGGCCTATAAAAATAAGCAGAAACAAGTTAAGGGATAATTTGAAGGAGTGAGGTAGTAGAGTACTGGGCGTTGGGCTGCGTGGAGAATTTAAACTTAGAGTAGTGAAAATCAAGGCTGAAAGAGAGAGAACTTTGAATTTGAAAGTAGCACTTAGGGAATAAGATCTTTCTTAGCTGAGCAAAGGATGAAATGATTATAACTGACATATACAACCTGGAATAGGTGTGTTAATGGATTTTTGTTGTGGTAAACCTTGCCTCCCTTAATGTTGATTCACTAGTTTGCTGTTAAGTAGCTATGGAGTGAATGCTTATTACTGCCTGCCCTGCCCCCTTTCCCACTTCCTATCTTAAAAAATGGAAACATTGTGTGTGTATGGGCGGGGTACTAATGATTCTACAGATACTGAATTGGTCCCTAGAATTTGGGGAAACTATTAATGCCTACTTGAAAACTATTAATGCCTGCTTGACCAAAAGGTTCTTCAGTAATAATGGCTGAACTTACTATGAAGTTGTGGGTAAAAGCAAGCAATCGGTGCATCTGATTATCTTCCATGATTTAGTGGCATAATTACTTCTGGCGCAAGTTTGTATACAATCACTTTTTATATGTCAAGTGGAGCGGTCAAACAGTATACCATATTGATTAAAGAGAGATTATAGAAGACCAAGAAGGGGGAGAAAATTCGAATCTGACAGCTGGCTGTGTCACTTCAGGAAGAGAAAATTTACTGAAATTCACAGATGAATCAAATAGAGTCCCAAGGAGAAGGCAGTGTTTACCTAGAGCTCTCTTGGAGTTATCTCTAGCTCAGCATTTTCTAGTTAAATTTCCTCACCTGCATGACATTTTGTAGCAGAGTTCATACAGTAAGAAACTGAGAAGAGATTTAGTCATTACCCAGGTGATTGCATTAATGTATTAATATTGGCATGATTCTGCACAAAAGTATCTATTTAGACACTTAGTAATCTACCCTGTTGTATCTTCAGATGTTTTACATTATTGTTTCTTTTTAGATTTATTTTTTATTTATGTGTGTGTGTGTGTGTGTGTGTGTGTGTGTGTGTGTGTGTGTGTGTACACACACACTCGGTGTGAGCGCAGTACATACACAAAAAGAGAGGGAATGAGATGTGGGATAGTTTCTATCATTCAGATGTGGATTTTGAAATATATCCACCAGGTTTACCTGTGTGTGTGTGTGTGTGTGTGTGTGTGTGTGTGTATGCACACACAAGCTGTGAGTG